AAAGTTTCCATAATAACTCTTTCGAGATATTTCATTTCTAAAGTATCTTGGTATGTACATTGTCTGTCGCTATCGCCAAAAATTCCATCCAATTCTTCGTGCACGCGAGCCTGCACGGTGAATATCATTTAATAAATATTGTCTCCATTTTTTGCCAATCTTCGGTTGGCAGCAATTAAGTCGGTTGTAAAAAGGAAGAAGGAAAAAACAAATTATCACGAGTATTAATCGAAACCGAGCAATATATCGATCACTCTCAGAAATAACTGAAGATCGCGAAATGCAATGTTATTGAATTACCATTTTAATTTAAATTAAATATAAATTTAATTAGCGGCAAATAAATAGTCTGTTAAAGATGGGCGATGCGATCAACGGTAAAAAATTATTTATGAAATTATGCGCTAAATGTCATACCACGGAAAAGGGTGGAAAACATATGATAGGTCCTAACCTGCACGGCATCGTGGGTAAAACTTCTGGAAGTAGGTTTTTATTAATAAGAAAATTATTAAATAAAAAAAAATTTAGAAGAAAACATTTTAACAGTCGCTTAATAATATTTAAGTACACACACACATACATATATATATATATATATATATATATATATATATAAGCTACTATAAATGACAATGTAGAAATTTAATTTATGCGGAACTGTTTAATTTATTCTAGCTATTTCGGGATATAAGTCCTCGCCAGCTATGAAGGAAAAAGCTGTTGTGTGGGATGAGAAGGCTTTAAGCGATTACCTCGCATGGCCAAAGAAATTCATTCCAGGATCATCAATGGTGTTTATTGGCGTCAAGAAGGACGAAGAGCGAAAAGATTTGTTCGCTTTCTTAGCTACTTTGAAGTAACCGCGTTTTAATAAAATAGCACGCAGCAGTTTTTCAGCGCAAATGTAATGTGCAAACCATGAGGATGTTAGTGTTATTAATTATAAAAAATAGTGATAATAAATGTACCTGAATATCTGGATGATTTCCCAAGACACAAAGTGCAAAACTCGAGCCAGCCGCTGTGGTATCATGACCCTATAATAAATCGATCGAATAATTATTTTCTTTTTGATACGTAAAACAATAACTTACGACTTATCATTTATTATAGCAATGCAATTCGCGATGTATTTTGTAGAAGTTAAGAAAAGTTGAAATTATAAAAATTCTCGTTTAAAGATTCACGATAAAATTAAATCTATTCTCGAAATGAAATTGCGAGTATTGTTATACCTCAAACATGATGGTATTTACTTCTTCCCAGATTTCCTCGTCAGTCCATTGCCCATTCTTTTTCATTTCGAACATCATTTCTAAGAAGGCGAGTCGCTTTTTCTCACCTATGTCATTCTCATCGATGTCATCGAGATCATCTCTTACGTAATGCATACGACTAGCGGAACTGTCTTTGGCATTTTCCGTGTTTTCGGTCGCATTCAAATTTTCCATTAATTTACCATTTTGTTCTTCTTTTAATTGTTGACCCTTTGTATGTTTATCTTCGACGTCCTTTGCTTTCTCCTTAATCACGTGTTCCGTCAGTGTATGAATAATATTGAGCAATTTCTTTTGATACTTGGCAAGCTTCGTAAATTTGAAAAATGCGTCATATCGTAATGACAAATCGTAATGTCTTCGATGTATGATATCGCTCAATC